ACACCATTCCCCCATGTGGACGCTCGATTTCACACGCAAGTGCGGAAGGTAAACACCGAAGTCATACAAGCGTCGGCTTTATCTCACACCAGTCGGCGAGAATACACATTTCTTTCAAGCTGCATGCCAACAGAACGTTAAGCCCTTTCCAGGAGCACGGCTACCACACACACCAGCCTCTTTTGACGGGAGTCTCGTCGATCAATGCCTAGAGCATGATGTCCAAAAAGCAGCCGAGCAGAAACTGAAATGTCAGCGCTGCCCATGCGAGTGCGCGCTCAGCTTGAGTTACTCAAGCCTCTCCCTGTATCCACTAGGGTGGGCGGGGTGCGCAGCACTGGGAGCAATAAATGACAGAGTCAAGTAACGTGTTGTCACATGAAAGAAACTACTAGTTGAAACACAGCTCATTCTTTCAAGCTGCATGCCAACAGAACGTTAAGCCCTTTCCAGGAGCACGGCTACCACACACACCAGCCTCTTTTGACGGGAGTCTCGTCGATCAATGCCTAGAGCATGATGTCCAAAAAGCAGCCGAGCAGAAACTGAAATGTCAGCGCTGCCCATGCGAGTGCGCGCTCAGCTTGAGCTACTCAAGCCTCTCCCAACTCTCCAATCCACTGTGAAGTCAACTCCGCAAATTCATCACATGCTGCTCAAAGAGGTCAAATCTTGCCTGATTCAAGCGAGAGATTCGCGGTAGTGCATCCGAATGAACATAGAGGGCATCGTGGAGGGCCCAAGCTTGCTGTCCTATGGCGCTCCAGCGCTGCAAACGCGTTTGCTGCCTGACATCAAAGCTGTTTTTGGCACGAAGAACAGCTACCTCGCCTCTGCGAATGTACTCACGTGCTGAACGCTCCCTGAGCCATCTCCCAAACAACAAAATGTCGGCCAATGGGATGCCCTGGCGAGCGAGCTCAGATGCCCCTGAGCGCCTGAAACTGTGAGTGGTCAGAAGTACATCTGGCCCACCTATAAGATTGGAAAGCTTCTTAACCCATCGAAGCACGGAAGCATATGACACAGCGAAAACTGGCTGACTGGGATCAACTGCGGGAAAGCGCCGGAGAAATTGATGTATCCAGGAGATCACCCCTGGATTCCGCAGAACAACTTTCTGCTCCATACCCCGCTTGGTTCGCCCAAGGCACAGAGTCACACTGTCCCAGCTCACCACCAGGTCACCGTGCAAGAGCTGTAAGCTTTCACGCACCCTTAGGAGACCTGCGTAGCAAAGTAGCATAACGGTACTGTGTTGAGGACGGTTCAATAGAAGAGCGGCCGCAATGATGGACGTGATGAGCTCAGGGGGAGCTGCTGCTGCCTGTCGGGGCGGCCGCTCAACGCCCCACGCATCAAAGACCTTCCAAGCAGTGCGGTACGAGCCTCGAGGGTTAACTTTTTGCACTGCTGAAAGTGCCCATCCGTATGCAGCACGCCCCTTTTCAGCTTCATATCCATCCAAGAGCCACTCAGCTAAAAAACCATCCTGTTCATCCTCAGTCATGCAATTCCATCGAAGACCCGCGGATTTTAGATCATTGCTGAGGTGCTCGAGGGCCTCCAAGTACTTCTCGCGTGTGGAGGGCTTCAAGGTTTTCAGCAAGAAAAGTTGCACGCGGTTGGGGCCAGTCCCACTGAACATGATGCAGGTTGACCCATGGATCACGTGCCTCGCAAGTCCGATCAACGGGCAAAGGCTTAAATGGTCTCACGTAGCCTTTACAACGCACCGCTGCCACCCGCTCCACGAAGTTGGTAGCCAGCGCCTCACAGAACTGACCAGGATATTTGGCAGCAGGGCTTGTGCGAAAACCGCCTTGAGGATTCAACCCGAGCAATGCTTCATGTTTGCGGCTGTGATTGCACTTTTCATGAATTGTAGCGCACTGTTTGGGAAGCAAAAGACCAGTGGGCTTTTTCGTGCTAGCTCCATATCTGCATTGGTGCACCTCATGGTACTGCATTTTGAAGAACTTGCAAAAATGAGCGACCTCCTCTGAGCAAAAGAACGATGGATAAGGTCGCCCGGGATCGGCAGGATGTTCGAGCCCACTCCAACCTCCCTGATAAGCAATTTCGCCCAACAAGCCTAAGCAAAGGAGGAAAAGCACCGACCCCACATAAACTGCATGCCGCTCTCTCTCCGTGCAAGACGCTAGTGGCTCCCAGACTGCATCACGAGACCGCAACGGTCGCGGGCCCCATCTGTGTTGCATCAACTTGGCATGACGGGCTCGCGAAACTGTGCTGCAAGGAGGCGAAGCAAAACCGCCCAGCACTTTTCCACTTTGAATGAGGCCCAGAAGAAAAAGTCCATGTTGTGTCTGTAGCAAATCTCCACATGCGCCCTTTTGGACCCAGATCCCCTCATGGCCAACTGCTGCCAACGGATCAATGCGAATAGCGACGATGTTGATTTCATGGAGTGCGCCAAGTTTTTCAACACAATCACGGAGATCACCGTCCCTTCTAGGCCCTGAACACAAGTGAAGGAAAAAGTAAACGTCAGGCGGCCAGAGCTGGATCTGTGACACATCTACCTCACTCAAGGGCCTGGGCTCCGGCGGAGACCACTCCTGACCACCACACTTGCTTGCATCCGGCTCCCAACGTCTTGAGGGTTCATCTGCAGGGTTCTCTTTTGAGGGCATCCAGGGATAAAATACCTCATGACCTCCAGCAATGTTGACGGCGCAGACCCTACGACAGCGACTGTTCAGCTGAAAGGAACTGGAACGACCCTTGCTAAGACACCCTGCGCATGCCGCCGAATCAAGCGGATGCACAAAACGGCATCCCTCGTCAATTGGCCTTCGAAGACGGTCCTCCGCCGCCCAGGTCACCGCATCGGCCTCACCCAGGGTGATGTGAGCCGGATTCCAAGGCGCCCCGGCAGTGTGCCACTTGATACGTTCAATAGGGATGCGAACTCGTCTGAGGGGACATTTGTGCTCCGTTGTTAAACCAATGCTCCATGGCAATTGTAGGTTGGTGTATGCTTGCCCATGATCACTGTATCTCGCCAGCAACTGTACCACATGTTTAGGTGCTACACCCCATGCCCGTCCAAGCCCTGTCATAGAAGAATCTGTGCATTCAATCCTTGTACTCCACGGAGCTGACAAGTTGAAAGAGCAAAAGGGTAAAAGAAGACAAGACATAGCCAGTTCCACCCAGACAACGTTAGGGATTGACACGAGATCTCGCCTTCGCCCCCTCACAGACGTCAGCCAACCATACGTGCGCTCGAAGATGGACCTGAGGCATGGCCGAGCCGAATGGACAAAACCGTGCTTGCCCACCAATCGGTCAATGACTCCCACGGGAACTCTACGAGCACGCCGTACATGGATTGTGGCTTGGAAGAGGTGTCTGCGCTTTTCAATGCTAACCCCAACCCAGTGGCCATGCGGATCAACGTAGTAACCCTGCACTTCCTCACCCAAGGCTGAGTCCACCGATTTCTTAGCATTGGGTTCCACGCCGTGCCGCACCCAAGAGGACTCGGTGGCATCCATCCAAGCAGCACCGATGCCAGCCTCAAGCTGGTTTGGCGCATGCTCAATAGCCCAGACATCATCCACAATCGAACCCCACAAAGGCAGACTGTCCGGAACCACAATGTCAGGATGAAGCCTATGCTCAGGCGCCAGCCCTGCTCTCATGGTCACAGTGTCCGTCAAGCCTTGCGCCCAGCCTGCCGATGGCCCAAACCCCATGGGTGCCGAACATGATGCCGGGTAACGCCGCTGAGCCGGGCCTGCGCCACCTCCATCATGCACCGGGACCGCACAACCATCGTCGCCAGCGCCTGCCAATGCGCAGGCGATGGAAGTAGTGCCGGGCGTCACGCTTGGATACCACGACCACCCCATCACACGGAACTGTCAGGCACTGCATCTTCGGAATGAACGCGAATCGGGGCCGAGGAAGCTTTTCGGGATCTAGAAGCTGGTTAACACTTGGATCTGTGATCACTCTGTCCTCATGCTCGTCTTTCTTAACAGCGAAAGCGCCTGCCAGACACATCGCGCCTCGGTGCTTGGCCACTTGACCAGGCTTCTTGAGGCAGTGGAGGCCCGCCTTCACATTGCGTTTCACCAGCTCGGGGTATGAACGGGCCAGCCAAGTATACCCTCTCTTCACGTGGCGTGGCCTCCGCCTGGATAGCAGCAGCAGGGCATTCGGCCGAATCACCTGCTCCGCCATCTCTGGGAAAGTGCTCTGCAGATGCTGCTCAAGAGGGACATCAGCAGCTTTGGTGGGAACACCCCCTTTCACACCCAGAGCTAACACCACCCCGCTACCAGAGTAATGTTCAGACTGCTTCAAACAGTTGTCTAGCCCTTCGCTAGACAAAAGAGGCTCATCAGTCAACACCATTGCCTCCAAGGCACACGCTATCCGAGCATGTACCCGCCGATGGGCTGCCGACAGCAGCGGCCGAACACCACCACCATCTGGCCCCCGATGCAAATCATTAAGGACCGCGATGACGAGATTGGCTCCTTCAACCAGACCTGTACAAGCCTCCGGAGAATCGGCAGAGCCATCAGTCACCACATCACCGCCACGACTAAAGGGCGGCAAAGGAAAAACATGCCCAGGAGAGTGCCTCACGCTTTTCCCCCGGTCTCGCTTGAATTCATGAAGAACTTGTCGCAAGCGACGCACATGAACACCCAAGGAGCATGACCTGTACCCTCTGCCCAAGGCCTTAGCCAAACCAGCCACGGCCTCGGAGAAGAAAACGCCAAACCCACGATGGGCCCCCACATCATCGCTGCGACACGGGCTCAGCGCCCGTCGAAGTAGTCTGCTCAGGAGTTGGTCAGGGCCAGCATGGAGCTGCTGGCCAGGCTCTTCTGGGTGGTGACCAACTCGATGGCCTCCGCTTTCTCCCAGCTGCCCCCTTTCATCTTCGCAGCCTGAATGGCAAGGATCCTTTGGCACAAGATGTCCATGGCCCTCTCGATCTCCCGGCGATTCACAGAGTCCAAGATCTCCGCAAGCGTGAGAACCTCCTTCAAATCCCGGACCTCCGTGAGTCCCGTGAACTGGTGTGCCCAGGCCGCCACCGAGGCCTCCCTGAGCTGGCTTGACCTGCTCAATGTGCCCTTTGACAGCCTGGCGTACACCCCTGCCAGGAAGTGGGCCGTCAGCGCACCTGGATGCTTCGAAGCGAATGCCACCAGGTCCCCTTTCTTCTTCCACTTCAAGCCGTCGACGTGGGACAAGTCGTCGTAGCTCACACGCTTGCTCTTGCCCTTGTCCTTCCACCGCAGCGGCTTTCCGCTGGAACTGCTGCTGCCGCTGCTTGAGCTGCTTGAACTGCGACTGCGCGACCGGCTGCTGGTAGAACTGCTGCTGGACCCACGTCGCTTTTTCTTCTTCTTGTCCTTCCTGTGGCTTTTCTTCTTCTTCTTCTTGGATTTCTTGCCTTTCTTGCGATCCTTCTTTTCCTTCTTCGATTCCGCCAAGGACAGGGCCTGCAGCTGCTTCACTGCCGCCTCCAGATTGCGCAGGTCCAGCTGGTTTGTGGCGTCTCCACCACCGGCACCTTGCCCCTGAAGCCCCAGCCCGGACACCCCGGCTGCGCCACTTGCCGCCCCCGCGCCTGGCGCCCCGACATTTGCTGGGGCAACCGGCATCGCCACCGGCAGTGGCACAGGCTCCAGCCGACCAGCTGCGCCAGCCGCATTCACCGGATAGCTTCCTGCACCCGCAAGCTGTAGCTGTTGCAAAAGGACGGTACCATCCCTGATGACCTGTTGCGACTCCGCCGCTGTCGGAAACCACTTTGCCTCTGCCCCCGGAGGAGTGCAGACCCAGTTCACTGCATCCGCCGCAACCCCATGTGGGGGACGCCGGCTTGCAGCTCCCACCATGACGGAGGCACTCATGCGACCTGCTACTGGAACCACCACAACCCAGATCCATTCTCCTCCATCCTCGGAGGTGGTGCGGGCAAGAATCTCTCCTGGTCCGGGTCCATGCCCTACCACAAACACTTCGTCGTGATGAGGAGGCCTTTCCACCACGGCAAACGTGCCTACCTGGAACTGCCCTAATCCAGCGGCTGCCATCCCGTCGCAGGTTAAGGAAAACTGGTCTGTCCGACTGTAGCGCAGCCACCACACGATGAATTGTTCCAACAACCACTCGCCTATACGATTCCAGAGATGCAGTAGTTCAGTGCTCCCACGAAGCACACAACACACGCCCCTCAGAAATAGGTATGCACACAGGCGAAGACAGAGTACTATTAAAGGAATCCACTCCAGCAATAGTAAGACTCCGCCCACCACGAACAGCTCCCGCGCGCCTTGCCACAAGAAGCCTGTAACTCCTTGTGAAGACAAGATCTGATGGCCAACAAAGCTGACCACCTCCCTCGCGACACTTTGTGCAACCCAAGCTTGCCAGCTCTGATGCACTACAAGTCCGGTGAACCCGGTCGCGGCAGCCGCACCCACAGTGCGTATGGACATCAACCCTTTGACCTCCCCTGAGCAGCTTGAGCAATAAATGACAGAGTCAAGTAACGTGTTGTCACATGAAAGAAACTACTAGTTGAAACACAGCTCACACCCCAGTGTGGACGCTGTCTCCAG